CGCTTAAGTTTATGGGTTAGATTTAAAGAATGAGTAAGGGTGTGTGAAAAAGATTTTAGTTCACTTTGATTTTTATTATGAAATCGCTTAAATTTATGGGTTAGATTTGAAATGATTTTGGGCAAAGAAGAAACCCTGATTTTTGTCATATATGTTTTGAAAGTCACTTATAGACTTTGATTATGGATCTGTAATTATTTAAGTTTGAACACTAGTCAAAAAATTTATTAAACTAACAGTACTGTAAACTAAATCTGCACAATGTCATAAAATGATAAAGTCTTGAAAAATAACATAAAATATAATGAGAGGATATTTACTACTTTACCTGTTTCTTACACTCTCCCTAAAACTGAAGGGCAAATTTGTGTTGTCCTTTAGCTTATAATCATGTCATAAATCATGGGAGGTTTAGCACATCATATTTGTATGTCCTTTACCTGTGTACTTGCAATATTGTATTTCATTACTACTTTCGACCAGTTGTTATAGTATGGTAGTTAAGACAATTGACTTACAATCTGCGGGTCACAGGTTCGAATCCCATCGCTGAACATGCTCGTCCTTTCAGCCGTGGGGGTATTATAATGTGATGGTCAATCCCACTATTCACTGATAAAAAGGTAGTTCAAGAGTTGGCAGTGGGTGGTGTTTATTTACTAGCTACCTTCCCTCTAGTTTATCACTGCTAAATTAGGGACAGGTAGTGCAGCTAGCCCTCCTGTAGCTTTGCATGAAATTCAACAAACAAACAATTGTTAGGAGTATTAAACTGAACTTAAACTAGCTAGCCTTTCTTAAAGGCTGAAGGCATTCTTTTTTTCAGATTGAAGCTAGTTTAGTATCATTGTAAGCAAAGAGGAATACACCATCACAAACTACTCCCTCAACCAATACATCCCAGACCCATCACGACTCTAGTCAAATCATGTGTGTCTGCACATTGAAAAGGTATCCAAGAAATGCTGCTGGTGAAAAAAAAAAAGGGAGAGTCCTAAAGATTGGACTACTACAAGAGAGATAAGAAATTGTCCAAAACGAAAATTGAAATCTGATCAGCAGAAAATACCTGAGTTAGGCGGAAACAGTTCTTCATGACTAACACAAAGTAATTGCTCTCAGTCGTACCTTTAGACAATAAAAATGCTCAAAAACTTGACATGTCTGCAAATCTTTCTTCAGAAGAAGGAAGTAGGTGTGATAGCCGTCAGAAACATAGCACAGAAATTGAAACTTGAATTGTCAAAGTAGAAGGTAGAACTTGTCAGAGGAGAGTAGACACCCTATCATACGGTGGAAATTCCTGAAGACTGTGGGTCCTGTACACTGATGAAGAGAAATAGAAGGTTTATGTTTGCATTGACAGGAAAATCTTTTAAATGCTTCAAATTCTTGGGATCTAAATATAAGATTCTGTCATCGCTCATCAAGTCTGTCACATAGAAATGTGGCTGTTGAGAAATTATTTTGTCCAAAGATCAGACTGGCCTAGGTCCTCTACACCTCCCAGATATCTGCCTCTGTATTAGTGTTTTGCAAGCACTCTTCTACTGTGCCAATAAAAAATAGAATTATAGAATTTGCATGTGATAAAATAGCTGACTACAATATTCAAACATGATTAATTATAAGAACTTCTGTATACAGGTAAGTTTTTCTAAGAAATATGCCCTTTACCTGTCCCCCCTCCCTTTTTTTTATAATTGCCATATGTTATCCCTATATTTAGTCCTATTTTTAACTTCAAATCTGGTGAAAGGCCTGAGCTTATAAAACAAAACAAAGTTGTGTATTGTAAATGTTGCCTTTTTATATAGTACATCAATAACATTGAATTTATTATACAACCAAACTGTAACTCTGAAAACACTGGTGTTTCCTGTATTTAGTGAAGACCTTTGCATAATAAACTCCTCCTGTTCAACAGAACTTTCAGGAAAGGTTACTTGTGTAGTGAATACACACATGCATATCCAGCAGATAGAGCAACTCCTTGTGAACTTTGACATATAGCTTGATGGAGTAATTAGTAATCCTACAGTTTTGAAACCAAATGTTATCAATCTTTTCTAGGAATCATCTATACATAATTCTAAAGACCTATGAGTGAAAGTCAAGAAGAATGTCTAACAATATGTCAACCACATTATATCTGCTACATCCAGTGCCGACGAGGCCTTTCGCTCAGTACCAGAGCTGGCTGGGATAAAATGAATATTGTACTGGTTTAGATGCTATTTATATTACCAAATTGCTTAAACAACAATGGTTATGGTGCAGACTAGGTTAAGTTGGCAAATGTCATTTTTATTGACTTCTTATGGGGTCATCTATAAATCAGAATTATGGTAAGAATTAATAAGATATATTATTTATCTATTTTTAACACCAATTATTTATTTTATTGAATTTACCCATCATCCAAAAGAACTGGTGAACTAACAAGCTAGTTTTATTACCCTTGCCCCCACAAGGGGGACAGGGCAGTGATTGTATTGGAATTGAGTCCGTATGTGTGTGTGTGTGTTTATTTGTCTGTGTTTCACATTCATGTATCTTGAAAGCTAATAGATGGATGTACACAAGATGGGAAGTCAGTATGGGAAAGTCCTCTCCAAATTTGGTCCAGATCCAAATGCAGATCACTTGGAAACATTTTTTTTATAATGGAGAGAGGGGACATTTTTGCAGTTTTGGGTTAATAACTCTGTGAAGCGTGATCGGATTTGTACCAAATTTCATGGGCACATTAAGGTTGAGATTCCTCTCCACACTACAAAAAATGATCCAGATCGTTGATACTTCTGGATCCAAGAAAGAGAGTTAATCTCCCATTTTCATCACATAAGTAAAACTTGTATTTTTGCTAGCCATACCATGTAATAAGCTGCCCCGAGGGATTGCAGTAAAAAATCAGATTTTGTTAAATCATATACATTCCAAGGATTGTTCCTGTTTTCCTAATTGAGGCTTAAGACTACAGTTTGTCCAAAAGATTTAAGGCTCCGACCCATGTTAGACCAATTCACCTTTTTCGACTATTTATGTCATTTTTCTGACAAGGCATTGGATTTGTTGATAACTTTTACACAATTTCATTCAATAAGGATGTTATTTGAGTTATAAAATAACAAATTGTTAACTCAAAATAAATTCAAGTTAAAGTAAAAGTTTTAAGTGACCAGCTCTTGCTGTTTTTATTATATTTCGCATAACAACTAAACAATATTTATATACTCTTTCAGTAATTTCACAGGGTTTGCCCTTATAAATGCAAACGTTTCAATAAACCGAAATAAATCTGTTACAGGTAGTCAGTCACATGTTTTATCAGAAAAGAAAAGCACTAATAATTAACTTTTTTGTGCATCTACTTATTTGAGTATCATTACTGTACATTTAAAATGATTTGGTAGCAACTGAGTCATTTCCGTAAAATAATATTACAACATAAATTATTAGTTAATTCAAAAATACAACAACTTTTACAGTAAACAAGTTCTTATTTTAGTAATTACAACGTTTCTACCATAGTAAGTCTTAGTTACACTTGACGACAATATATTTTATAAATTAACTGGATGACATTCAGTCACAAATTCATGAGAGCTTTTCTTTTAACCAGGGAAGGTCCGCAAGAAGGAGTACCTTTCATTGATGATTACATTTCAACCCAAGAACAGGTAAGAATGAACTCTTGTTTTTTTTTTTGTATATATGTAATGCACTGTATCTTGTAAATTAAAGAGAAAAAAAGTAAGGCTAAGATAATCAAAATGTTGAATAACCGTGTTGAGTAACTCTTGTCTCATTTCAGGTGGTTGACTACATGACTAAGTTCTCTGGCATAGAGCCAGGAGATTTGGATGCATCAGTCTCCAATAAGCACTTAACAACACTCAAAGACACATACATCAAACTGAGGTTCCTCATAGACATTGGAGTCAAGTTTGTTGGTCATGGTCTAAAGAATGATTTCAGAGTGATCAACCTGGTGGTAAGTAGTATTTTGTTGTAGATACTTCTGTAATATTTATTGGTCATGGTTCGAAGAATGTTTTTGGAGTAATCAACCTTTTGGTAACTTGTGTTTTATTATAGATACTATTGTCATATTTATTGCTTGTGGTCTGATGAAAGTGTTTGGAGTAATCAACCTTTTGGTAGCTTGTGTTTTATTATAGATACTATTGTCATATTTATTGGTTGTGGTCTGATGAATGTTTTTGAAGTAATCAACCTTGGTGTAGTGTGTGTTTAACAGTTCATTCTTGTCTAAGTTATTTCAGTAATCAACTTTTAAGTTGATTGGTCTATATATGAAGGATAATCAACTTTATAGTGAGAAGTATTTTACTGTAGTTACTAAAGTCAAGTTTGATCATTTAGAAATTTTTGAAAGACCAGAGCATTCTTATAGTAGACATCAGTGTCTCCTACAAAACGACATTACTGTACAAAAGCGATATCAGATTGATAAGCATTTTAAAGATCAGTGCTGAAAAATGTTAAAACTCATTTGTGAACTTGCTTCTATATGAATTACAAACTAACATATCAGAGAAACATTACTGTATAGAACTTGTCATGTGACAGTATACAACATGAAGTGAAGTGATTATACATTATACCTTTAATATATATATATATATATATATATTGGGTTTACCTTTAAGTACACTATATTTACGTTTAAAGATAGTATCAACATGTGAGTATTAGTTGAAAGAACAAAGGGTAATTAATGATGCCATTCATTGTGGTTTAGTTTAATCCACAGCTTTGATGTGATATCCTTTTTTCGTGTACTCTTGGGGGATATTTGGTCATGTTGAGAATAATGTTACACTCGTGTACTTTTCTAATGATTATAATCAGCTTAGGATATTCATTTTTATGGGTTTTTATGTTTTTAGACTATTTGTTTTGTAAATAGACTCAGGATATTATATCCTTGTAGATTTTGTGTAAATAGTGTTCTTCGTTTAAAAGACAGCAAATTATAATGAAACTTGTAGATTGGGATTTAGATACTATAGTTATTTAATGTATGGTGTTTTGATATTCTTTACTCGCACAGTGATCCTTTATTTATATAGAAATTTCAATAATATGTTTGTTTTATTACCTAAAAATTATCCTCAGGTGGTCAGCCCTTGGTTTATGTAGTTTGTTTTATTACCTAAAGATTATCCTCGGGTGGTCAGCCCTTGGTTTATGTAGTTTGTTTTATTACTTAAAGATTATCCTCAGGTGGTCAGCCCCTGGTTTGTGTACTTTGTTTTATTACCTAAAGATTATCCTCGGGTGGTCAGCCCTTGGTTTATGTACTTTGTTTTATTACCTAATAATTATCCTCGGGTGGTCAGCCCTTGGTTTATGTACTTTGTTTTATTACCTAAAGATTATCCTCGGGTGGTCAGGCCTTGATTTGTAGTTTTAAACATCTAATTTTCTTATTAAACAGGTTCCACCTGACCAAGTACGTGACACGGCTCTTTTGTTTCAACTTCCAAACAAACGAATGATTTCCTTGAGGTTTTTGGCATGGCATTTCTTGGGTAAGAAAACTATACCATTCTTCTCTAAATTTTTTTATTGTCAGACCACAAGTAGTTTTCAGTATTTTTTAATAGTTAAAAACAGTTACAGGAAAGCTATGTGATGAGTACCGACATGATAATAAAGGTGAGATTTATGTTAATTACCAAATTATTAACATGAATTGTACAATCAAGCTATCTTTAGGAATGTACCCATTACTCCATCATAAATAGCTCCTATTAATAATAATAATGCATGAAATTAAAATCATAAATAATATTCAATGTTAAACTGGTATGCAGTTAAAAACATTTTATTTAGGCCTAACTATGTCCTTCGAAAAGTTGACGACTCTACATGTTTCGACATTACATCCTGAGGATGACGTTGAATATTATTTATGATTTTAACTTTATACACAAGTGCTAAAGTACTATAATTAATAATAATAATGTTGTAATTTTCAACTAATTAGTATTCCGGTGTTTGGCTTAATTCCACATAAAGATGTGTAACTGTTTAATTTGTTGTTAAAGACTTACAATACTAGAATTTAATGGCACAGCTGGTTTCTAAGAGCATTCTCACTTGTTTTGTAAACATTAGGAAAGATTTTTGACCAAAACATTGGTATTTTATTTTGCAATGCTAGCTAGTTATGTCCAAACTTTATACACTGTTACTTTCTTGATAGTTCAAACCTTGATGGGAAATGTTAGTATTGACAAGTGTATACTTTAAGTTAAGATACATATTTATTGCAGCAGAGACAAGAACTGTTTGATTTTTATATGGAACTTAATATCTTACATGAAATTTCACAGTTTTTTTTTAATTTAATAACATACATTTATGTACAAAAAATGATAAGCTGGATTCTTGTATATGTAAATATACAAAGAGTAACACCAGTACCATATCTATGGTTTAAAAGGAGTCCGAGTTTATGTGAGCACAGTCTTTTATTTTAAGTATTCTATAAGAATATTAATAAACTGACCACCAGTAAAATTGTGTTTTTTTTGTGAAAACAAGATTTAGTACATCCTCTACAATAAAAGATAGATATTGTGTGTTTATTTTTAAAATTCACAGTAACGTAGCCTTACCTTCTCTTAGGTATAAAGATTCAGTCGGAGACTCACGACTCTATTGAGGATTCCAAGACAGCCTTGTGGTTGTACAGGAAGTACACTGAGTTAGAGAAGGAAGATAGGGTACATGAAGCCTTGAAGGAGTTGTACGAAGCAGGAAGGGATTTACAGTGGAAGGTTCCAGGAACGGACGACACTTGACCACTCATCTGAGCTATCAAGAAACCACCAAGTTTGTCATCAACCACACGATAACTTGTCAGTAAATGTACATTGTCATCTGTCATACCATATTTTACATGGGGAGTAACACAGAAGTTGACAATGTTGAAATAAATCAGACCATGTGTTGGAGCTGTAGACTTCAATATTTGATCATTCCATATTATAAAAATCATGTTGATAATCACAACTTAAGTAACTGCAGAGTTCAGTATCTTATACTATACATCAAACCTGTATCTATATAAAAAAACAAAAAAACAACCTTCAATATCATCCAAATCATTCCTGAAAAGTAAGCACTCCTTACTTATTTGATCTGATGAAATACACTGATTACTTTTTATGAAAATAATAAGTAAGCTTGTAATTTGTGCATGGAAAATCACATCTCCAGGGAAGGGGGAAAAAAACTAAAGACTCATTAAATTATCAAGTCCAGATTGAATATATCCGAGGCATTTCTGGCCAATACAGAGTGTGAAGAATAATGAAAAAAATGTGTAATTCATAATTATAAGTAGATGCAAAGTGTATTTTTGACTTAAGTTTGGAATTAAGAAGTACTTTAGGTTGTGTTTTAATATTTGATTACAAGACTTACAAGTCGCAATTAAAACTTAGTAAAGAAGGAATATCTTAATGTGTAATGACCCCATTCTCTCCAGAGTGATTTACCACTACTTAAGCATTCAATAACTCTAATCCAGTCAAACATTTCAATGATAAAACAGAGCTCTCCTAAGAGCAGATGTAAACAGAATTTTCAGTCCATTTATTAGATGTAGAAAAGAAATATATTTATGGTTCACTGCCATCTTCTGGTATTATCCATAACAAAATAACAGCGTTTTTGCTCTATATTTGTACATAAGCAACAAACTTTTAAGTGTTCTTGATAGATTTGAATGTAGAAGGCTGATTAATATTTATATTCTTAGAGATGACAGAACTTTTGATATGTCAATGAAGGTGCATGTAATTTCTGAGTAATATGAAAATAAAGAGTTATTTCTAACAGAAGCTTTTTTTTTGTGTCAATAAATGCTCCAGATTTAACTTGTAACGTTAAACTTACACTGCTTTTCATGGTAGCTTTGTTCACAGTAACACTCCTGGTCTAGAACAGCATGTAGTGTGGTGATCTAGAATAGACTCTAGTACGTACCACCTAAACAACGCCAGTTCTTTTTACCCGAAGTTAACATCATGAAGTGGGAAGACTGAAAAAATATAAAAGCTAACATGTGCATCATGGTTTCTGCAAATTAAATGCCTCTTTCTGGCTTTAGTGTGCCAGAAGTGGATCTGAGGTTTCGTGGTTCATGTCCCATTACTGCCAAAATAAAAAAAATTCATGCCTGCATTTTGTGGATGTGGGTAATTTATAAGAGCGACAGGGAAATAACGCAATGCAGTCTGATACGAAAAGCCCAACACTGGTGGTGTTGACTAACTGCCTTCCCTCTAGTCCAGGGGTCTGCAACTCGAGGGAAGTGTGCCACCCTGTGGCATGCAAAGAGATTTTATATGGCATGCTAATTCACAGAAAAACAAGTACAAAAAGTGTATTTTCTACAACAACAAAAAATTTTTTTAATTTATGACTACTACTTTATTACGGTGTTAATATCCCATACTTATGTATTATTATAAACTACTAACCAGGTTATAATACTTACACACAACATTAAACTATAGTAGTGTAACCTAAATTTAAACAAACAATGGTGGCATGACCCAATAGAAAAACGTTTCTGAGCCTTGCTATTGTTTCAAAAGTAGGGGCAGCTGGTACAGGTAGTTCTAATATAGCGTGACACAAGATCCAAACCAAAAAACAAAATTATACTCTTAGTATAAGAATTCTCGGACAAACCCACACCTAAAACTATATTGTAGAAGAAAAATATTAGATCAGTATGATAATATTCAATGTTTACGTTTGAGATCATCATACGTACATCTGTTAGATGGTTCAAACGTTGCTACTAAAATCCAACTGAAGCTTCTCAACTTCTCAACTATTTTGGCATCATTTAGAGTGATATATTTCATACTTGATACAAAAAACAATTACGTTAAACTTCAGAAAAAGGTATGCTTTAACATTGCAATGTCTTTTTTTTTTTTGTATTACTGTGATGAAGACATGAAGAATAGTCAAGTATTTGAAAACACTTGAGTTTTGGGTCTTTTTTTTTTTTAATTTGGTCAATGGTATTTACGCACAAATCACCAACTCAAGGAGATCTATGTGAGAATAAGAAATTGAAGCAGGGGCTTTATGTACTAACAACCACAGTGTTACAAGCATTATTCTTTGTAGTTAGAATCTGCACTTTATTAAAACTTTAGCTTACAAAATCCATTTAACTAGTGGAGTAGAATCAAATACTGCTTACATAAGAGCCGAGACTTTTCATGGTGGACTAGATTGCAGGCTTGAATTCTCTCTAGTGGATGTCCCCTGGTGGATCACTAGTAAGTGAATGGACTTGCAAGATAAAATCCAAGGTTTGATTCCCCACAGTGGAGAGAGTGCAGATAGCCCATCGTATAACCTTGCACTAAGAAAACAACAAGCTACAGTGGACTCCCAAGGCAGACTGGTGGTGGACTGACTGAAAATGATTTGACCAAGATTATTTTACTAATTTCTTAATTTGTGACCTATTTTCATTATATTCAATGCATGAGTGCTACTTACTAAAAAAAAAAAAGGTGAACAGTCATGAATTCTAAACAAAGAACTTGATTACATAAGAATTGCATCAGCTCGAGGCCACTGATATTTTTGGACCAAGGACAATCTTTAGGGGGAGTCTTTTTCCCACCACAAGCTTATTAGCATCACTTTTCTGACATTCAGTCACCAATTTATTTATTATGCTTCTTCATGTCTCATTATTTCACTTACTACTAACTAAATGTTAATGAGTCACCATTAATATTACTGACAGTATAGGATACAGTTTTGATCCTTTTCATGATTTTATACTCTTCTGTATCTTCTCAACAGAAAATCTGACCGTAAGATAAACATCCTGGTCAAATATGCATTATAGTGATACCCATGCAATAAAAATAAATTGCGTTTATGTTCACCAAATGTTATTTCACAGCAAAACAAAAGCTACGATATGATTAAAAGACAAATTTTTAAATGTTTCTAGCAAAATTCTGCAAGCTTTCAAATATGACATTTTTAAAGCTATGAATATTTTGAAATTTGGGGCTATAACATTCAGCTTTAACTCTTGCAATTATATATGTTCACCAAATGAATGCTTAATTCAATCGTAACCTTTTTTATACAATATTAACCGTTTCCTAACTCTAAGATGTATTCAGAACGAACATTGTAGGTAAGCCATACTAAAAAGGACTTCCTCAATGCTATAATAATTAATACAAGAATAAAATATTCTCTGTTGTGCGTTTTATTATTCATTTTAAATCTATCCCTTTCCTTAAATGTTTCAAAAGTAAAAAAAAAAAGTTTTATTTTGCTTTTTTAATACATTTTCGAAAATTTGAAAGGCCACTGTAACTTTTCCATAAAGACAACGTAGAAAAGAAATATAACATGTAACTGTAGTTTCCTGTTTTGCAGTTACAAACATAGACCCATATCACATATAATTCTGTACATCAATCTTTTGTTCTTTGCTACATGGCTGTACACCAAAATTTGGAACCCCACAACTGTTTTATTTTTCCTTCTATTGTATTATGCTCAATAAATAGTTATGTTGTTGGGTAGTCACAAAAAAAGATAAAAAGTTTTAATTAATTTGAAGACAGAATACAACAATCCTCTCAATGAAACTATGTAGACATAAAAAATCTACTTTTACTTAACTGTTTATGTCTGCAAATTAACAAGTCAAAGCTTTTACTTAAAAATTATGATCACTAGCACAGAAATATACATGTTGAAAAGATCAACAGAGTCTTATATCTATAACTTCTTTTCAGGTGCATTGTGTTACTGTATTAAGAGTAAAGAACAAATAAGTTTTTGCTACAATGATTATGGTAACAGTGTTACCAAAATTAGTCAGCTGAAACAACTAATGGTGTTTTTCTTTCATAGTGCCAAAAAATGTCAGTTTTTTTCTTTACTCTTAATATAGTCTTAAATCTTCTAAACCTAACTTTTGCAGAATGAATGTGCAACTTTTACATCAAGCTTTATAATATAAAATGAAATAAGTTGGTCTGTTAACACTGACATGTCTATTGTAAGCCCGTATGGCTTTGGAAGACACTAATTATTATACTGTTACGTCTCTATTTGTTAATTAACTTTCCGTAACTTTGTTCC